ATGGCCGCTTAATATTCAGAAAAATAAAGCCAAATCTAACTTACTTCAAAATTACACGAACTATACAGCAGAGACCACAAACAAAAACAAAACAGTCCACTGTAAAATCACCTGTTTTATCTCCTGTCACAATAGCAAACACATAAAAAGACACTACATACAAGTAAAACAAAACGAAAACTTTATTGTTAACAATCAATTTTCATTTTCCATCCCCTGTCACAAAAACAAAAAAAAAACAAATCGCGCGACTAACCGCGAAAAAAATGAATGCAACAACCGCGGCGCTCGACTAAAAAACAATGTGTCGCGACGACGCTCAGAATCAGTGCCAACTAGATGCTTAATATAAATACAAATAATGCGACCCGCACGGTCCGTGTGTGTATTGAAAGGGGGGTCTTCCCCTCGGTTCTTGCGGACGCGGGGGGAAATAATCTAATTCATTGAGCGATCTAATCGCGTGTCAGATTTATTACGCGAATTTGGAACGACAGAGGCGCTGATGTGTGAGGGGGGAAAGAGTTGTTTTACGCAAGTGGTTTTTGATTTATGGGTTTATAAAACAGCGTGTTGTTTTCGTCGAAAACGTCATTGTATTACACTGGAATAAATACCCTATATTTATTTTACAGCGAGAATCAATAATATTACAGGAATCCACTGGCAAACAAACTCATAACTGTACCAAGCGACAAGGTGAAATTAGACCGAATAGAGGTATGTAGTTCGTGAACGAACTAGTTCCGCAATGAACTATTCCGACCCCGGAATGAATGGAACTAGTTCCTGGTTTCTCAAAGAACTAGTTCCTCAGGGCCTATTCCGGGATCGAGACTGTGACCGTAATAATATACGACAGCGATGGATCGGCCAGCGCGCGTAGCCCGATGCTAGACAGGAGTGGGGAGTGCCAGCCGTATGTTATCGGATCCGGACCTACAGGAACTAGAGGAACTAAATAAAAGACTAGTTTACGTACGGATCGGCCAGCGAGATCGCATACCGATGCTAGGCGGTAGTGGTGCCAGCCGTATGTTATCGGATCTGGACCTAGATGAACTAGAGGAACTAAATAAAAGACTAGTTTACGTACGGATCGACCATCGCGATTGATGTTAGGCAGGCATGGGGAGTGCCAGCCGTATGTTATCGGATCCGGACCTAGAGGAACTAATTAAAAGACTAAGTCACGGGAATCTATTCAGTCGGCAGATCCGAGAGATACAAGACGACGACGATGGATTCGGCTCTTGTCTATTGCCAAAGTCGGCGTAATTACCACAGAAAATTGCCGTGGATACTGTTTTTGATATTTAGTTTGATCTTTAAATATTTTATGGGAATGTTTCACTTTAGGTCTCTAAAATTAAGAAATATCTTATAAAACGAAGTAGATATTCAAAATTTTTAGACAAAAACAAAAGCATGAAGTGAGGAAAAATGCAATTTTTCGTAAAATTTTCGTAATATTTGCTCCAATTGATTTGTCATATAGTTTTTAAACTCTGATTTGAGTTTATTTTTTTATCTGCAATAAAACTTACCTATGTTTTTGACATACACAATGACACCTCTCGTTATATTTCGTACATTATAAAAATTATACAGATTATACTGTGAATAGTTGAATAGTATGAACTTTGAATAGTAGAAACCAAACCAAAACGAAATCCATTAGGAAGCAACGGAGATGTCAATATTAGTCGAGAACTATTTTGAACTAAAGACCTAGTTCAAGGAACTATTCTTCTGGAAGAACTAGAACTAAGGAACTAGTTTCTCCCAAGGAACTAGAATTCCCACCTCTAAGACCGAATAATAAGATTATCCCTTGGAAAAAGTCTGGGTTTTTCGTCACTGGAAGAGAAATTAACAAAATTAAAAAGTTATTTTTGTAAATACCACTAAGTTGAATCCAAACGGAAACTAGCTGGTCAGTGGCTATTTACTAGTAAAATAAATTTGTTTTACCAACAAAAAATACTTAAATTTTTAGGAGGCATATCTCCTCTCTCCTTTCTTCGTCATAACTCAAACTAATTTAGTTAGTCTGTGGTCACAAAGGCAAAAAGAACACGATAAAAAAATATTTTTAAAATAAATATTAATATAATGTAAATATTATGACTTTTTCTAGTTTTGTTCAAAATATGTGTGAAGCCTATACAATTTTTTGATACAGAAATTCATGTAAAAGGTTTATTCAAAAATGTGTTTGCTTTTTAAAATTATTATTCTGCATTTTTTAAAAAACAAAATCTCTAGGCCCTCCCCTACGTTCAACACTAACCACCTAACCACAAAAAATAAGAAGGATAGAAAAACAATATAACATACGAACATCCATTATCCACTTGGATAGATCCATTTTGACCCAACTAAGCCACTGAACCCTGAACAACAAACAAAAATGTGATATACAAAATACCATGTGAATGTGAGAAATTGGTGAAACATCTAATCCATTAAATAAATGTTATGATAAATGTTACCTACGAATTAAACGAACATAAAAATTGTTTTAAAAAGAGCGATTTTCGCAAATCTAAGATTTGTCGGCATTCACGGGACAGGGTAGGTACAGGGTAGATTTTAACAATGCAGAATTAGAATGTAAGACCAAAAAAAGAAAATAAAATAAAAAAGTTTTCCTACTTCAATCTAATATACATAAATGTGCTTAGGAATCTGAAGAGGCTATAGCTTCTTTGATTAGTTATTTATTTATTTTTTTTAATCTAGATCACCGAATATATAAATAAAGAGAACAAAACATAAGTAAAAATTATTAAATACAAACAATAAACAGAAAGTTTAAGATAAGGATTTACCTCACTAATTATTTGTTAGGTAGTAATCGTTAATTTGATATTTGATTTAATATGGTCTTTCATATAAATATCTTTTAATAATATCATTAATATAAGTATCTGCTAAAAACTAAAGGCGTTCTTGAATAGTTTTTCTTAGTTAAAAAAAGTTGTTTTACTAGTACAACGCCATTGACAAGCGGCTTCCGTTTGTGAACCAAAAACCAGTGGTGTTTACAAAAAAATACTTCTTTATTTTGTCAATTTCTCTTCCAGTGGCGAAAAACCCATACTTTTTTCAAGTAATCAAATCTAGCCTGACAAATACTTTTTAATGAATTTACTGTAAGATCATTTTATTAAAAATTTTGATCATATTATGCAAATTTATGAAATAATTGATTTTAAATACAAATATGTATTGTGACGATTGTGTATTTGTTTAAAACAATGAGGTGTATTGACTAAAGTCGACTAAAGATCAGTAATTAAGAAAAAATAGTGTGTGTAACAAGAACAAATAAAGACGCCATTGCATTGAGAGCGATTTTTTAGAAAATCTATGGATGTATGTCAGGATTTTTTTGTTTTACATATTATTTGTTTTATTTTATTTTAAATTACATATTATTGACCGCGGTTATTTTCAATCCAAATATTTAAACAAAAATACCTTCTATAAATAACTAAAAAAAATTATCTAAACAACAAATACAATTAAGTGTCACATACCTTTGTTACGAAGAAAACAATTAAACATTGCAGATAAAAACAAAATACTGTCATTTTTTCGCCTTTCATTTTTTGCGATTGAAATATACATAAACTCTAGAGGATCTGTGTATCTGTGTAATCTAATCGCAGATAAGACAAATTTTCCTGTGATACATGACGAACAAATCAATTGATATCGGTTATCTTACTAATAGAGATACCGTATATAGTGAATAACTTGTCATATTGTTTCGGAATGTCGATAGTTTCGGTTGGTAAAATCCATGTTTATAGATGCTAAAACATTCTACATCAGAGTCGTGCATATAATCTAGGCCCAAATTTCCCCATAAAGGTGCTTTATACGATTTGCGCAACAATAATTTAACAATTGATTTATTATCGGATTGATTTACTTTATATTTTTACTAGCGTGTACCCGCGATATATAAGATCAACTATTAGATATCTCTAAAGAGCGAAAATATGAGATACATATATTTTTATAAATATCCTTTAAACTCTTTAGCAGGCAATATTTATAATATAGGAAATTCAAATAATTAGTTTTCTGACATATGGGAATAAATTGTCTAATTGTTTGACACTAAATGTCAAAGGAAGCTAGATAAAATCAAGAAAAATATACGCTTTAAAACTAAATCTTAAATAACATAAAAACGATTTATTTTAGGTATAGGAACATGTATAGTCAAAAAGTAACGAATTGAAAAACCTTTTAACCAGTGAAATAAAAAAATGTGGGTTTCCGTTTGAAAAAAAAATATTTATGATAATGCTTTAATCGCTCAATTCCATGAGAGCTACCGCCATTATTATATGACATACAAACAACTTAATTTTTGACATAGATAGTCACATTATGTCTTCTCTTTATGTTAGAGTGGGCTGTGGTAATCACTACATTTGAATTTTGGGCTATACAATTTTTTTTGACAGGCATCAACTATTTTTGACAGGACGGTTTTTTAATTTTTAGTTAAAAACATAATATCTTAGCCCTCAAAAAAATATGCAATTATCTAGACTCACCCTAGTAATAGTATTAGTGACAGTATGGTGAAGGTATTACAATAATTAAATTCGATCATGAAACTTTCGTTACTATAAACAAAACCTTTAAAAAATAATATCAAATTCTTAATACTCTGAGATTAAATTAATAATAATATAATAATAAATTTACAAAAAATTGAAGAACAATTAATTTATATAATTATTAAAAAATATAATGTTATACAATCTCCTCGCGTTGATTTAATTAAATTCCGAAACAGTTGTCCTAAAAGATAATTTATTATATTTTATGTTTAATGGATTACTAAAAATCCTGATCACAGTTTGAAACACATACGTCCCCCCTAATAGCACTACTAGATTTTCCACTAAAATTTTAACAAAAAACGTCGTTAAAAGGAACAAAATATAAAAAACAATTAATTCATCACTAACCTGGAACTTCGTGATCGACATTCTGCGGTACCCTCCTAGATGGCGATCCTCTGGGCTGGGGAGGTTGCTTGAGCACCGCCAACGGTACCAAACCCTCCGGCACGGTCTCCTGGTGTCCCTCGGAGCCCCTTGTGGGCATGCGCACCAGACAATAGTCCGGCCGCGCAGCACACACCTCCACGACCTCCACCTGTTGTCCCTTGGAGACGGTCAGTTCTTGCGGACTGGAAGCTGCATAGTCCGACATCACCCACGTCATTTCTAGGACGCCAGTCTGGAAAAAAGAGGCTTAGATTAGAAAAGATTAAGATAAAATAACAAGCACTAGTCCCTTAGGCGATGAATTCTCGTAGTTATACCTATAAAGGGTGTTAAAAAACAATGTACCAAACTTTGGATCGTTCTATTGACAAAAATAAAACAAAAAGTTCCTATAAACATGTTCTAAGATGTTTCCCAAGGAACAGGTAAATAAAAATAATTTCATGTTTATTTTTGACAACATTGGTAAATTAATTTCACAATTAATATTATGTTTATTTTTGACAAAATTGGTACATATACAACGGTATTCTTGAAATTTTGTACTCTTACACATATTTTAATGCCAAAATGAATACCGATAGTGTAAAATTCCGTAACAGCGCCGAAAGAGTACTTTCCATTAGCGAAGAAGATACTACCGGTAGTATTTTTTTATATCTTTATACACTCAGATGCAAAAAAACGGAACGGAAAATTTTTTGGTGAAGTTTAAAATGTTATATCTTTTTATTTTTAGCCCATTTCCTTGATTTTTTTTTAGCAAACTGTATATAAATATACCAACTTTAATTCATAGACTCTGTTTATTATAAACTTTAGTATTTGACTTATTTTACAGGGTTAATCGAAGAGTTGTTTTTTACCCTATCTTTAAATCACCCTGTGCAATAATTTCGCGAGCACATTTTTATAAAACATTATTTTTCGGTCATGTCTCCCGAATATTTTGTTTTTTGACTCATGTCAACACATGCCTTGGTTAATATTAAATAAAAAGACTAGACCATAATGTGATCGTAGAATGAGAATAGTTAGATTGTACGATCCATTTTGCGATTTCACTAGGGCGCGTCACTCAGTCAGAGCTAAGGGCGGAGAGGGCAATCAACCCCCCCCGAGCCCCTTTACGGCACGCCACTGTGGCTTTGGTGATGATTGTCGTGTACGATAAAATATGATCCTTAGTGTCGAAGATTGTACAAAAGTCATTGATCTTGTTGAAGATGACTGAAATTATGAATATTCGCTGGGTCCTTGAAGAAGAATAGGAAAACATACCACAATATAGTTGCAGCCTCATTAACAGTATGAACCGACCAAGTTATACCAGCCGGGGGAGGCAATACAAAGTATTATAGTATTTTTTACAAGTTTTTTGTTTGTTTGTACACCTAGTTATTACAGTATTTTTTTTTAATATCCTTAGTTTTGTTAGGGTTACTAATATTTATTAAAACCAACCTTTTAACGTTTTTTATTCATAAAGAGTTCTAATCAGTGTCGATATGACATTACGACAATAGTCACCAAAGCCACCGTGTGATATCAAAACTAAAAATAAAGATATAAAATAAATAAATACTAAAGTTTATAAAAAAACTGAATTTATGTTTATAAAAAAATTAAGTTAATAGATTTAAATACAGTTAAAAAATTCATGAAAATATGGCTAAAAGTAAAAAAATATAACACTTTAAACTTGACCAAAAAATAATCCGTTGCGTTTTTTTGTATCTGAGGTAGTGATGGGTTGTTATTTAACTATCTGTTATTTTATAACAATTATTTATAAATAACATAACGCAACCGTTACTACTTTTAAAAAATAACAGATATAAAATAACGACACGTAGAGATCGGCCGCTCGTGAAAGGAAAAACGAAGTCGGCGCTCTGCATCACCACGAAATTCTATGCTGCTCGAAGCAATTCCAAAAAACAACTAGTATGGATTGAAAACATGTTATTTCGTCAACCATCGATACAGGCGGCGAGACAACGGACAACGGAGTGGGGAAAGCGCTACGGCGAACGTAGCTGCTTCGGTCGATACCGTCAATGGTCGTATTTACAACAGCTTAAAAATAATAGGATATAAAAGAAGCAGGTTTTTTGAAACAGTTGAGGGCATAACGCCTGGCGGTGGAGATAACAGGAGTGGGAAAGGAACGCTGCTGCATCGGTCGATTGTCGATGGAGGCTCGCAACGGGTTGGAGAAGCAGTCATTTTAGATATGTTGTTTTTCAACCTGTTACAAGCATAACAGCGCGGCGGACGAGATAATAGGTGTGGGAAAGGAACGCTGCTGCATCGGTCGATTGTCGATGGAGGTTCGAAACAGGTTGGGGAATAACGCATCAGTTGTTTTAGATACATTCTGTTTCAACCTGTTACGAGCATAACGGACGGAGGTCGAGATATTATGGCGCTCTATGTTTCAGTACTTACTTATTACGTTTCAATATTTAGGTATATATTTATTCTGAAAAATTTTCAGAATAATATTTTAAGATTTTTTAAAAATGTATACAGGGTGTTTTGAAAAATCTGGTCATTGATTAATCACGATCCTGTTTAAAGCCCTTGACGTAAAAAGCTGATTTTTGGAAAACGGATTGACTTTAGTGTGTAGGGGTTCGATAAGAAGGGATTTTTCGAAACTCGAATTCTAAGGGGGTGAAACTACTCTGAAATATTAGAATATTTTTTATTTAAAAACCGGTGAGTTTTTCGGAAAAACTCTTAAAACACGTATATTTTAATATGTTGTTTTACATATTTTAAGATTTTTTAAAAATATATACAGGGTGTTTCATAAAATATGACCATTGAGTAATCACTATTCTGCTTAAACTGCTGGACGTTTAAAGCTGATTTTTTGCAAACGGATTGACTGTGGGGTTGAGGTTCGATAAGGAGGGGTTTCTCGAATCGCAAATTCCAACAGGGTGAAAACGCCACTCAAATATTACAATATTTGTTATTTAAAAAACGGTTAGTCTTTCGGGAAAATGCCTGAACACGCATAATTTATTTTGTTTTTTTACATATTTTGAAATTTTTTAAAAAATCATACAGGGTGTTCCAAAAAGTTGAGTAATTGATTAACCACGATTCTGCTTAAACTGCTCGACGTTAGAAAGCTTATTTTTGGCAAATGTGAGAAAATTTTATCCAGTTTGTATGTTAATGGAAATTTTTGTTTTGCTTTATCATCACCATTAGAAATTATTAATTCGACGCGAACGAAGTCGCGGGTACACGCTAGTTTAAGTGTAAAATTAATTCGAACTCTAGTGTGTAGTTGGTTTACTTATGAAGAATATACTACACATTTTCTTATATTGCTATTTTTTGACCGCAAATGGTAAAATCATAACTAAGAGCTTCTCGCCCGTCGAGTGAGATGCACCCTGTACACTGCTACGCAATTCAGGATCTACGCGGATCGAGGGGCAGGGCGTAGGTATTAGTATATACTATAGACGAGTGGCCGAATTTTGGCTTTTTTTATATCGCAATTTGTAAACAGCGCTTATTTGTAAATAACCACCGTTTTTAGAGAGGTATTTTAGATAACAATCGATATTTAGAAATGTTTTGACACCCTGGAAATACTACCACCGAGCACGTCATTGTTGCAACTTGCAACTGCGTAATACGCCTGGCGATGACCGTCTCATACTCTTTCAGATATTTAGCAGTAAAATAAAGAAACCTGTTATTTTTAAGCTGTTATTTTAAGCTGTTTTTTATAAATAACTATAACAGTTTCAACTGTTATCTAAAAATAACAGTTTTGCCCATCACTAATCTGAGGGTAGATACAGTAATTTCAATAAATTACATAAAAAGCTAGGTCCTTTTACGTAGGAAATGATCTTTTCGTATAGTATTAGCTAAATTAATGATGAAATGTAGAGAAATTATAAATAAATTAATCTCATGATTCCGCTAGTACTGTTTGGATTACACATGGTCTGCAATACCTGACTCCATTTTCATCTTTAACAGTATATTTATATAAAGGATCGATATCGGTTAAACTGTCAATGTCGTTAAGCAATAAAGAATGCCTTTATATTGAAGCTTTTATGATCAAATTAAAATTTCATGTTTAAAGGTAAGCTCGTCAATATATGGATGGTTTTAGACATATACCGGGTGTTTTCAAAAAATGGCTCACCCCTATTTTATTTTTTCAGATAATAAAACGAAATTTGATATGTTAGTACATATGTATATGACAAAAATCAAAATTGATACACGTATTCAATTACTTTCGGTAAATTAAAAAAAACAGCATTTTAAATTTTAATCTAGAGTGCCATGGCTGTGTTAAAACCCCTAATTTTTAATTAAGGAGCTTTAGAAAAATATATTTGGTCGTCTAACGTTTTTCGTGTGTTTTCCTGGCCGGTTAAAAGATGTCCAAATCTTATTTTTAATCATAACTCAATATTTTCAAATTGAACGAAGGTGGCTCATTACCATTTTTGAAAAAGGCATTTTTACGAATAATTTGGTACGACATACCTCATTTAAAAAAAACATATAAAAAGTTGACATATGATGAATTCATCAGAGAAACATTCATGTTTTACGACAAAATTGTGACAAATCCAATACATTTCTGCGACATTTTTGTTTTATTTCAAAATTCGGAGACTTTTCAATGTCCCGTCTCGAGTCGGTAAAGATCAAAGTGTCTATGTTTTGTTCGTATATTTTACAACAAATTGTCGGCGCAGTGTGGATGGCGTGTGCTGCCAACAGCAGGAGACCAGTGAAATCGCATATGGTTAATAAAACTCATTCGCAACAACTAAACTTTTGACTTTGTTGTACTTTTGTCCTTGCGGTTTGGACAATTATTTGTCTCAAGTTTGTCTTGTAAGAATTCCCCATTTTTTGTCGCAAGTTTGTCTTGTTTTTGTCTCAAAATCGTGTTTACTTTTTGTCGCCCCACTTTGGTCTGGACCCGGCATAATAAAGTAAAAATACCAGGTACTACCGTATAATCGAATAAAAACGCCGTCAGCGATGGTTATGAAATGAAGATCGCTGTCATTTTATATGTAAATTTATATGGGAAATGTAATCGATATTCATTTCATAGCCATCGCTGACGCCGTTTTTATTCGATCATACGGTATTTAAAAATCAAAAGTTCTAGTCATTTCCAGTGAAATAGGAATTGTATACGTCAATCAGTCCTGATTTATGTCA